TTCATAATATTAAATGCTTGTAAAACTAAAAGATAATTTTATTAAAACAGTTTATTTGAAAACCTATATTGATTAATCATTTTTGTCTTTCCCGGCATATAATATCGGTAAATAGCCATTATAAGCTCTTAAAGTCTTACAATTAGACTCTATTTCTATTACTCGGTGTAACAATATTGTGACTATTTACTTACTTCTTTATCGTCATATCATTCATTTGTTATGCATTCGCTTTCGATGCAAGATGCAAGATGCTGTTTTGATGGAATGTATAAAGAAATATTCTGAATAACTGAAAGTACAGCATTACTTCGTAAGTTCACGAAAACTTGTATACACACAACATACCAAAAAAAAATGTTATTTGTAATTACTAGCCTTCGGATTTTTATGCATTTGGATATATTGAATACAAACGAGAAACGTGGTAAGATATAAAACACAGTTAAATCTAATAGTGCCTTAAAAAAAGGTATACCTCCGTTTAACTCCAATCTTGTATATGAATTACACCAAGAACATATTATCTTGCGTTAAGATCGGCAGTCTAATAATAACGATTGCCTAACACTTTCCAATCAATGGAAAACTTCATGTGATTATTTCAATAAGACTAGGATTGTTGTGTGTTTATATTTCCTTAATACTGACACGTGAGTATTACAAATACAAATGACCTCGAGTGGACAAAGCTGAGCTTCTTCTTAACTTGTACAGTAGATATACATACATATTTGTAGTATTCGTCAAATGATGAGAAGAATAAGACTGGGTGGAAAAATTAATATTTATAAAGTAGGAAATGATATTTTATTTTGATCGAAACAATTGACTTTCTCATTTTGAAAATTATGTATCGTTTATGAAGAACGATTTATCTATTTTTTTTACTTTATACGCAATTATGTTATCATAGCTAGGAGAAGAAGATGGGTAGATAATCCCCTGCTTATATCTTGGTATTTTCTCCAACTGAAACTCAAGCTCTTTTTCGTATTCGTTCTATGGAAAACAATATAGGCTTTCATTGTATGACTGATTACCAGTTATCAGTTGTCATATGAAAATGATCAACTCCTAAAAATGCTTTTGTGGTCCTTAGCATTGCTCCATAAGAAATTATCTTACATATTGCTATCGCAATGGCACATAGAAGACTTACAAAACCTCAAACTAGTAAACAGAATTGCGAGATTACGTTTGCCTTCACTTAATTAGCTCAGAAGCCTAACATCACGATGCAGTTTCTTACAAATTGAATTCACTGTCAAAGCATACCCCTTGATTTATCCTTGGCTTACAATTAACCCTGACATCATTATATCGACGTTTGTTTCTAATACTTGACCCCACGTTTCCTATCATATATTTCTTTTCAAATTTCATTTTATACAAAGTCTCATATCATAAATATTGTCTGTTAACACTTTCGTTTCTTTAATGGGACCTGTTGATTTCAAGGATATTTGATTAGGTGTTCCTATGCATTACGTGGAAATAAGAATAACGTCTTTCAACAAGTGCATTTAAAAATAATGTAACGTACAGTAAAACCTCCAATAACGCGATTAAAAAATGATCGAAAAATAATTCTAAAAGTGAGATTCTTCATAAGAAAGTAATACAAGCAACGACAGAAGTTCGACCAGTATCAAAAAGGGAAATTTAGGGACATGCGTTATTTAATTGGGTTCTACTACAATTTAAAAATCAAACCAAATGGAAATTAATAATGTAAAGTTTCGTTTATTCTGAATGACGATATAAAGATTAGTGCAATTGAATATGACATTACATCATTCATCCCAGTTAGTTTCTTAATTGATTGATAATATATTTATATTATTCGTAAATGAAAGTAAATGAAACTAATATAATTATCAACTAATTATCTACACTGTCAGTCAAAAGTTTGGGACCGATACATCGGTTAAAAGAAAAGGTTCCATGTTTTGGAAACAACTTCGATTGGAGAATTTTTGGGTATAACAAAGGAACTTGAACATATGTGTATTAGCCAAATACGAGGATATATAATTTTTGTTATTTTATTTTACATATTTGTGAGATGTATAATTTTTAATTTGTGACGTTACGTTCATCAAGTTGTTTCAAACTTTTGACCAGCAATGCGTATCGTCCATAGAATTGCCTATTAATTTTTTTTAACCCTAGATCACTAAATTATATTCTTTTCAGTAACACTTTTCAATATCGTATCAAAATGGTAGAAGAAGCTAAAACTTTGACACTCTTTTTCAAATTAATGTTATAAAAAATGTTCGTTAAATTAAGCTACATAACAATGTAATAAATTAAACTACATATATGATAGTTAATACTGTAAATTCTATTATTTTGTTTTAAACTAAGGATTCCAAACGCAGTCCCTACTACCTTCCCCTGTACTTCCAATTTTGTAGACTGTCTTATTTTTCGCTGTCCTTCTCTAATGAGAATCAAGGCGAGCTTACTTATGCTAATTGGAGCCTTACTGTATTTTCTATTAGTACAATTCTGTTAGTGCGAGGTGAACATGTATAAGGCTTAAATATATGTCTACGACTATGAAATTTTAGCACACCGTGCGTATGAAACATTTAAAACTTTACAGTGGAGTTGCTCAATAAAAAATAACATGATACATTCTTCTCAAAAACAGGATAAATACAAAAACTGATTGTATGGCACTGGTGTTTTTTAATCGGAAATTGCATTACATAGTGAATCAATTTATTGAAATATGCATATTTTTATACCAAACTATAATTGTCTGCGATTTTATAAATTAACAATTATTTTAATTTGGTTTCAAATTCAACTGTTTCATTATTTTTATCTTAAAAATAAATTGTAATTAGAAAGGTACATTTTATCTTAAATCAGGATTAATTAATTTAAAAATTATATTTTATTCTATAGATATATAAATATACTAAAGTAAATTAAAATTAACTGTTTCAAATGAATTAAATGAATGATTGTTTCCTTAAATGAATGAGTGATTTCCTTACATAATAATATTATCTGTCAAGATTAATTTGATTTGAATCATTCTGCGTGAAAAACGGTAGGTGCGACAAATGAGAACATAAGAATAGTATCTATTACCATTGAGATAGTCACGATAGAAGTATAATTAAAATACCTGTTAGTGTCAAAGTCAGTTTAATTAACTATATATTCCTATGATACTATTGAACAAACATTGATATTAATATACAAGCCAATTAAAGAAATTGATAAACGTTCAATGAATTAAGTCAATTAATGAAACTGATTATAAGTAAAACAACGAAACAGAATTATATTGATATTTATAGAATGAAATATAAATATGAAAATGTATAATATTTATCTAATAATAAAATAACTAACCAAATAAACTTTCGTGAATTTTCATTAAGATAATTATTTTATGTTAGTTGTATTACAATGCCAACAATTATGATTGAGCTTTCACCAATACGGAAATGCGATTACCCGCACCTGTGAATAGACTACTTGGTTATGAAGAAAGTCATATTATTAAAAAAATGACACAATAATATGTAAAATGGTAATTACCAACACGTACATATAATAGTCAATATAAGAGTTCATCTCGAGTAACTAATATTTTTAATTGATTCTTCACTGATTAATTTCGATTGTTTATTGCAATATAATTTTATTCGTTATTCTTATCTTTTAACCGTTATCCAAATAAAATGTTAAAGTCTTCATACAAAAAGGATTGTTTGTAAAATAACATTACAGTGGCAAATACTGATAGAAATTTTAATTTAAACCACGAATAAATTGTCTTAGAATGTAGTAAGATAATACTGTTATGTAGTAGTTCAAAAATATGAAATTGAAAAATTACGAAAAGTACAGCCAAAAACATTTGTAGAAACTATTTAGTATGCAGTAGTGTTGAAAATTTTAGGAGTCGTAACCGTAAGCGGTTTACAACCTCTGATAAAAGATGATTGTCCAATTGTTCGTGAATAGCAATAATATCCAATGACATCACCACGAAAATTGATAGAAACATTAAAATTAAACGTGTCTACAAAAGCTATAAAGCAAAGATTGAAATAAGTTAAATTTGTTATATGCAACAACTCGAAGGACCACTAAGATATCCGAATTCAAATTAAATTGAGAATTCATGAAATTCATTAAGCGTTGAAGACATATGCGATAAGCAATATGATAAAACAGAACTTTTTATACAATGTTTTAGATACATGTAAAAATATCGATATGAATTGTATTGAAAAAGAGAACATAATGTCTTATAATACGTGGGCGTAATAATTTCTGGAAAGACACTAAATAACAATTCTTAAATTATGAAGAATACTAATGATGAAAATAAATAATGATTTATTAATAAATCTAAATAATGATTAATGATGGTATATTATAACGTGAGATTTTATATGAAATAATCATTCAAACTGTAAACATGTAAACATTTAATGGAGAGGAAATATTCTATTAATACAATTATCTATTGTCTCCCGAATCTATTTACGTTAATAGCTGACTAAAGCCACGTTTTCACGTTAAGAATTAGTTTCTTTTTACTACTCCGACAGTTGGTCACGCGTACGTGATCTGACTCAGCCAGTCTTTATAAGCCGAAGTCACGCGAACGTGAATTCGTTGTCCGCAAATCTACCACACTAAATTGGAATTATTAAAACCTTAACTATGGGAGTTAATTGCAATTGTCAGATAATAAAGTGACAGCTTATCTTGTACCAAGTTTCATAGAGCATCGATTTTATATACAAATGTATAATACGGATAATAAAATATTCGATGATAGAACGTTGATATAACGAGTGTTTCGATAATCGAAGTTCCAATCCGTTCAATTCTAACGCAGTGTATTATACTACAATACTTCTTAATGATAGTTAAATAACTATTACATTTCATATTTGAAATAATACTATATTTTATTAGATTTCAAATTATTAAATATCGAAAAAAATTTATGCAGTTTTCTTGGTATAAATGAATTAGACTCCGATCTCAATAAATATTTTACTAGTGTAATGAACGAAATTGCTATTAACAACAAATTATGTCTATCACGTTGGTATCAAATAAAATAAAATTATTTTGCAAAAACGTTCTCTGTGTTTAAATTTTGGTTTAAAAACCTGCACGAACTTTTTCCAACACATAATGCACGTACAGTAGGACCTCGATTGACCAAGTCACTATTTTCCACGATCTAGATCTAGACTTGCATGATAAAGACGAATGGTGTTAAAACTAATTATTAATGAGTTGTAATCAGAGTTCGTATAATATACTATTATTTAATTATTCGCGTTATTAAATATTTTCATTCGGTATTAATGTTTTTATTGTAATTGCTTTCAAGTAATTTGGAAGTTCTGATCATCAATGATCACCGTGGCAGTCAACGTGTTAATTAGAACTTTGTCATTTCAATTCTTAGATTGTATCTTTAACCAGGTAACTGCGTTTGACGAGTATACACGTCATCTTAAAACTCTAAATGCTGCTAACTTTTTAAACGATGGATTATTTATTTTAAACAAACATGTAATTCTTCTTCTTTTCATTCTAGTTTCTTGTTAGAATATATGATAAGTGCATTTAACCTACATTCGACGTGTATACACTTCATTATCTGATTTTATTGCGTGCACAATAAGAAATTTTTGAAACTAAATTCCGCAGGGTTAAATACATACAATCGAATTTTATACATATGTTTTGAAAAATTTCTTCTCAAGTCTCCATTTATCTGAATTGTTAAATGCTCAATTTGATTGGGTATTCGAGATCTTATTGCATTTACGTTATGAAGATAGAAGCATAACATTATAAGACAGAGTTTACAATAAAAAACGTGGTCACTGAAGTGTTGAAAGTGATAGTGCTTTTCGTGATTCGATCTGTATGAAGCCAGTGATATTTTTTCCCTCCTGGCTCGACGGTTTCAGCCAAAAATAAAGTCATCCTCGACGATTTTACTTTATGTGACTTCCGCTTCGTTCTGAAACTAAAAGACACGTGATATTGTGCAATATGTTTCCCCGCTGGGCACCCTCTGTATAAGTATACCAATAATTCTTGGACACTAGTGTCAATATTATTTTCGACTTGTGCAAAAATAATTAGAGTATAGTATTAATATAATTAACGTTATTTTGATTAAAATTGTGTGACAGTTGTTTATGCAACGGTCTATTTAAGTTCACCTTCGATTGTGTACTCATGTAAATATAAGACAAATATTTGCATTTAGAAAACTATAGAATACTCCCAATTTTTAAAGCTAAAAATATTATCATTGTCATCATCAAATTTTATCAAATTTTAACTTCCATTGTTAAATTTGAATAAACATTGTCAACAAAGGAAATAATTTTTTTGCTTTTAACATATAAACTGAATTTTTTTGTAAGTAATGCAATTTGTTAAACTTTGTTTATAGTTGAATATGGGGCAACGATGGAGAAGGTAGAATCCTACTTTTAAAAAACGTTTCAATAATAATCTACAAAAAAAATATTCTATTTGTTGGCTAAAATGTTGAAAATACTACCTATGTAAAAAGGAGAATTTATTCGAACGACATTTGAAGTACTTCTCTTTGGTTTGGGTAGATTAATTCTGTATTCACAAAAAAGTAATGTAAGCGATGAAAATTTTGAACGATGTCTCGTATGTATCCAATGAAATAAATATAAATTCATAAATTTATAGTTATTATACATTAGCATTAAAAACTATATACAAATTAAATCAATTTTATTATTATTCAGTTTATTCTTCTCATTAGAAAAAAGTCAAACCAAATATTCATCGTATCAAAGTGTTAAGAGTAATTTCAAACTCTGATCAATAATTGAATTTCTAAAAGTTGTAAGATGTACAGCCATATGATAATAATTACAAAAGCTACAAGCTTTGCAATTCGTATATCGAAACAAATTTACGTCCAATTAACACGTTCACTGCCACGATGGTCACCGATGACCAGAGCTTCCAAATTAATCGAAAGCTATTACAACAAAAAATTATTATCGAATAAAAATATTTAGTAACATAAATAACTAGGCAATAGTTTAACGTATAAACTGCGATACCAAATCGTACATGATCGTTTCTAATATAATTTATCTTTGTTATTATACTTATTCTCGAGAGAATAAGCAATACTATACAAAACGCTAAAAATTCGCGTGACAGTCTATAATTTTCATTTATAATATTTCATTCTTCTGCCTCTTTCCGATCGCGACTTTAACGGAAAGTTCTTCATGTCAAACAGCAGATCGTTACAAGACTGACATTTCAAAACAAAAGAAATTTGCGGCGATTACGGTAAAGGCACCGGTAATTAACCTTGTATCAGTAGATAGCATTTTTCAAGAAAACATAAAAAATATGGTTTTTAAAAGTAATAACCTTTCGATAAAGACGCGATAGATATACTGTAGTATCTACCGACCCAACTCCGAAACACTTTTATCTGAATTACCAACATGGAATTAACTTTTTTTCATTTATATTTGTCTTTTCACTTATAATTTGTAACAATTACTGCACATAAACGGTATTAAAGTAATCACCTTTATTGTTTTTGGTTTTACTATAAGTGATCAACTGCTAACTAATACATGGTCAATTACTAGTTTTTTCGTTTTAAAGGATTCTGTCCTGCGCAACTATTAAATTTTCAAAAATATCGGTAAAATTTGGATAATATAACTATTTCAAAAAAGTTCGCTTTGTTACATAATGTAAGAAATTCAAATAGCATTTTCACGCATAGAGTCCCTCTATTTAATAAAGGACCAAGCGTTTGCTATTATTCGCGCAGAAAATTTTTCTAACTGGTCAACTATTGATGCTTTTACCCTAGCTTAAGATTTTCTTCATTTTCACTGACAATGGGTATCAGAAAACCGATAAATTTGCGGTTGCGAATGCGTTAAATAACAATTTCGTTCTCATTTCCACGAGTCCCATGTCGTCACCTGAAAAATTCTCGAAATCGAACCAGGGAAATGAAAATCTGTGAAAGTTCCCAGATTCTTTGAACGCGTAGCTGATAGGCGAAGCACGAATAGATTTCAGAACAGGTTTCGTTGCACGCGCGTGTTATTTCGAAATCGGACGAAACTCCACAGCGGGATCTCGGGCAATTGGGCATCCGCGTCCTCGATCGATTTGGCTGAAATAAATGTAAGGAGAACAAAAAAAATCGGAGGGAGAGAAAAAGACGGAAGCGTGAAGCGCTGCTAATTCGCGGTGCACATAACGGTTTGCCCAGCTGAATGGCAATTGTTAAACTTCCTTTAGCGCAAACGTGTACAACGAGGTCAATTGACGTTAAATGGAAGCATTACGGCATTATGTAACTTAGGGCCATTCCGAAGGGTACACCCACGCGACCACGTTACGGCTTTCGTTCAGCACCAACCCTCAGAAAAACGTCTGGAGTTTCATGGTTTTCTTCTCTCGTCGTATAATAGCGGTGTTCGTTTTAACCTGTTAACCGTGAAATTTAATTTCAGAAATCTCTGATAGTGCTCGCAATGAAATCAAATAATGAAGTGTATACTCGTCTAACGTAGGCCAAATGCACTTATAATATATTCTAACGAAAAGCTGAAGCGACACGAAGAAGAATTACATGTTTATCTGAAAAAAATAAATAATTCATCGTTGAAAGAATTCATATCATTTTGATTTTAAGATGACGTGTATACTCGTCGAACGCAGTTAACTGGTTAACCCGTTAACTGTGGAATTTTGTTTTGAAAATCCCTCGTGAGGTGTGTAATACAATTGAACAATGACGAGTGTATGACGAGTATTGAGATATAAAACTAAAGCAGAATGGAAAAGAACTAGATATGTGTTTCAGAAAATGAATAACTTATTGTTGAAGAAATTGGTATTGTTTTGGGTTTTGATATAACCGGTATACTCGTCAAACACAGTTCGGGTAAAAGCACCAATAGTTGACCAGGTAACAAAAATGTCCTACGCGAATAATAACAAACGCTTGCTCCTTTATTAAATAGAGAGACTCTATGCGTGAGAATGCTATTTGAATTCCTTATATTATGTAACAAAGCGAACTTTTTGAAATAGTTATATTATCCGAATTTTACCGACATTATTGAAAGCTTAATACTTGCGTCAGAAGTTAACTATACATATAGTTAGCAATTGACCGCTTATAGTAAAACCAAAAACAATAAATGATCAATTACTGATGCTTTTACCTTAATTGGTTAGCGGAAACTATCAACTTTGAATTTGAATGTTTTATACGTTTCATGAGAGTGGTAGTGTTTCGTGTTTAGATTATATTCTGTGGATGTAGAAACATTTCATTAGAAAAGAGAACTATTCTCTGGATGATTTTATCGAGAAGATATTTTTAATAAATGCAATTTGTGTGCGTCGATGTTCTGTCAAATTGTAACTACAACTTGTACGTGAAAATAAATTACTGACTCGGGAACAGTTCACGGTAAATATTAGTTTGATGCATATGAAATGTCGGATGTTTCTTACTCATAAATGTTTGTATTCCTATTGTTGTTATTCTTTCGTTTTTCACGTAACCTCTTAAACAGTTTTATTGTCTATTGTCAGAGTAACATTTGGCAAGAAAGTTTGTCCGAATTATGTGTAATAACTATTTCTCGAATAGAAATTTTTTGAAAACATGGATACCGCGAACAAACATTCGTCTAATTTTCTTGTATGATTTTGAATTTGGAAATAATGCTGCAACACTGCTTAAATATAAACAAAGCATGTGGGGACAATATTGTGAACGAAAGAACAGCGTTAATTTGTACAATTTCGTTTCGATGATGTTTCTTTGCAAAATGAATCGTGTGGTGAACCCGAAACAGTAGTTTATAACGATGTCTTTAGAATGTATTAATTCTAAAAATTCAAACTTTTTTCGAAAAAAGGAATATATTCATTAAAAACACGTCGGCAAAAGTGTGTCGAATCAAATAAAGCATATTTCGATTAAATAAACGTCTTTTAAAATATCAAATAAGGTTTCATATCAAATAAATAATTAAATATCGAATTAAAATATGTCAATGGGAAAATAATATTTTTGAAATGTTACTCACTGTTTTAAAGTTTCCTTAATATTGAAGGCGAGAGGAAACTATTTATTCCGATCAAAATTATTCACTAAGAACTTTTCGTACAGACTTGTGCTTTTCAAAAACCCTTGCATTTTGTCTAAATAATAAATCTTATATTTTGCTGAGTTAACAAATGGCAGGCGAAATATACATTTATATCGTTCAATTTTGTTTTAATACATTTTTATGATAATATTGTACAATAAGATACATGTTCACATCAGTTGAAATTAGTACACAAAATATTTGAATAGTCAACAAAATATTAAAGAAATATTATTTAACTAACAATATCACAAAATAATTTAGGGAGTTATTTCAAAATTAATGTGTGAATCGTACAAGAAAGTATATGATTTGAATAATCGCAAGAAATAATTTCTTTCGGGCAACCGTTAAATTTGTGATTATGCTCACAATATTTGTTCGCATTTTTAATAATGCCAATTCAATAAAAAATCAATAAAATAAAACGAGTGGATCTATCACTACACATCACGTAAGTGTATGTGCCTTGATATCCACGTGATATCATAACGGATATGGATAGAAGAAATTTAATACGACGATTAGCCTTCACAGCGCCATTTGCCATCTTACTTTGCATCTATATAAACAAAACTCGTTCCTGTAGTGAGTTTTTTTAGCCTTATATTGTGTACATTTATCATTGTACACTGTTGGGTTCAGTTAAACTGAAAATAAATTTTTAATAAATATTTCACGACACAAACTTGTACGGAAATGTTACGTTATTCGGATAATGGAAATGCCACTGATCTCATCAATCTTTGCTTACTTATATAGAAAACCAAAAAACTGACAGCTCGTTTAGGTATTTATTAAATTTGTTAACATGCGCAATCGCATATTTTCGTATTAAATCGTTATATTCAAAATTCACTTGAACAGCTTACTGGTTGAATTATTTAAATTTCGAACTACTGATCGCAAGCTTGGTAACAACTCAGATATTTTTAATACATTTCCTTCTCGTATCGAAAAAATGATTGTTTCTAACTTCACCCATTCGCTACTGGCACTTCTTTCAATAACAGTCTCCGCGATTACAACATTTTATTAAATAAGACATATTATCTGCACAAAGTATAAATAATATTCAAGAAAACAAATCTTCGCGATTTCCTGCACATATTATGCGTCACATTATTACATGAGTACATACGTAAATGTAATTTACTTTTCTTTGTACAAAATACGAAATACTGGTCGTCATAAAAGTGTGACATTGCTAGCAAACGTGTTAAGTAAGTACTTACACTATTGTTTCTTGATATTTCGTGTTTACTATTAAATAGTACTCGTCATCAGAAACAACTCAGTTAAATATTTCTTTCAGTTTCAATGATGTAAAACATTTTTATTTATATTTTTATATTTTAAGTAAAAAGTAATTTTATCGCTTTATGTAAAAAAATGCTTTTTAAAGAAATTATGAATTTAAACAAAACATTAGTTTTGGTAAAATTTCATATTTCTTTAAATTCTGTGATAATTAACAAAGTTACATCGGTAGGTATTTCATATAGAAACGAGATTTCTCGTAGCCGGTGCGTAATGTGTTAATACTAATTTCCAGAAAACTGGGCTGTGACCGGCGATTTTCAAAGAGATTACATCAATATACGTAGATGAAATCAAACATCTTATTGTTACTTAATATATTTTAAACAAAAATTAGTTTTGATACAATTTTATATTTCTCTAATGATGCGGTAATTAGCAAAATTACATAAGTAGACATTTGTATGAAAACGAGATTTTTCATTCCCAGTACGCAATGTGTTGACTGTTCTGTGACTTTTAAGCTAACATTATCGAAGGACGATACACCCTCGAACTTCCACTGCAATTTATCATTTCCTTGTGTTTTTGTCCTCCCACAGCGTCCACGTGATGTTATAAATATTATTTTACACCGACAGGCGTTAGTAATGTAATACAATATCTAACAGTTATGATTCCGTGTATCGTCTTTCTACGTGATTTTACAAATGAATCGCAACACCCAAAGCAGCACACAGTTGACATGACAATTCCGTTTTATCATCACTATCAGTTGATGTAGGTCTTAGACAGATTTCAGAAATTCTATAATATATAAAAAGAGTTTTGTATAAGTACATCTATCTGAGACTTTCATTTAAGAAAATATGTTAGGTACCTTAAAAATAACGATGAAACATAGAAACGATAAAATTTCATAGAAATAAGGATAAAAATGTATTAAATAGATCAATTATTTTCGAATAACATATTTGATAAGTATTACACCATTTCGAACAGAGTACAGAAAAATAATAAACGCGCCTGTTAAAACTGTTACATCAACATAAATAAAACAATTACGAGGCAACCCTTTTGTAACAAGTAAAAATGAAAAATTCATTAATTTGTACGATTAAATGTAAACTCAATTCTTAATAGTTTAATTTAATGAAATCAAAATTGCTAATTTGTAGGATGAAAATTATATACATCTCTACAGTGCGTTGTAAATAAATTTTGACGTTTGTAGGCAGTTACAGCTATAGAAGTAGATTTATAACAAAGGAAATCAACTTTTAAATTAAAATTTCATGTGCTTACTTAATTTATTTATAAGACTACAAACGTATTAATAACAACGAGAATTACAAGAGTGTGACTTGCAAATGACAACAGCATCAAAAACCTTGGCAAGTTCCTATCGTAGCTTTTTTTCAATATCTTCTGTGTAAATATTATATTGAGTTAATACTAATTACATTAAAAATCTATCGGTTTAAACAATACAACTTCTTTACTGGTGAACAAATAAAACGGAGAAACCATTTTCAAAATAATCGAAATTAAAACTATGTAGTAACATCGATGCAGTATTATCATATCTAATTTTATCACATATTTAGATTTAAAAAACGAAAAGCATTAATTTTCTGAGAATGTAAACTTATATTTTTAGCATTTGTAATATTTCATAAAATTCGTACTTAACTGTTTATGCATTCACAAATTCACTGTGTAACTGTTACGTAAGAATCTGTAAAAATACAATATATCAACGTTAAGTATTTATGTAATAAGAAGATATTATCTTAAAGGGGAACATATGTAATTTACAAATATTTAATAGATAACTTTTACATTTAATTCACTTCGAAGAACATAAATTATTCATAGAAAAGCTTGGCGTACTTAATCTGTTCCCGAAACAAAAAAACCTCAAAAGGTATATACGTACCCGTCAATTTTATCTTTTCTTTTTCATTTTTTCCGTCATTTTCATAACTCTATTAAGTAATTTTATGACTGTATTAAACGGTACTTTGAAAGTCTCTCAGGGTTAAACGCCGGTCGTAAATCGCAATGATTTTTACGAGTCGTTTGGCACTGTGGAGGAATTAATCAGCGCGTGGTGGCACGCCGCATAATATAGGTTAATTGCATTAATCGCTGGTTCAATTCAAAGGAAGATCAAAGCGTCTGGTCAAGTGGAGCAATTCAATTACGTACCGATTCAATGTCTCGCAAGGTCGCTCCACGGATTCTATTCTTCGCTGAAATGACCTCCCGTGCATTGCTTTCGTAATAAGAATTTTATCCTATTGTATTCGTGGAAGGTAGCAATCAATTTACAGTAAATCCAATATTATGCTATAGGTAATATGTACAGTACAGCTGACTGACAATTCCTTTATAGCAGTACGTGAATACTTTTGAAGATTTTCCTGACATAATGATCTAAAGAAAAATTTTGTTCCGGTTTGATACTGGAACTGCCAAGCAACTAGAATGACTCATTTAGACTCTCTTCTAAAACCTGGAAGAATACATTTCTTAAAATTTAAGAACAAATGCTTACAAAAGCATACTTGTAATTTTAATAATCGTAAAATAGACATTTTTGAATTACTCGTTTTGACTAGTCTAGTAATTCTAGTGTTAATGGAAATATACTTTATGTTGATCTAAAAGTATTTTCCTAGTTTTTAATCTTCTACAATTTACTGGTAGCTGTAAAATACCAATAATATCAGAAGACTTGCATAAGTAAATACTTCCCAAGTATAAGATACAAATATTCTTAATTTTTAATTTCAAAAATAAAATTTTTATTTACTAGTGGAGAAACAGTGAATTATTGTTGCTTAGCTGTGGATGTGATTAACAATTTGTAAATTATTCAATACAGGAAATGATTGATTAGTCTTTCTGAGCCCCTAATTCACTATGTTCAAGAGAGTTTAATAACTTAAGTACTAACTCGTTTTATTAAATTAATCTTTATGAAATTATGTACCCATTGTTCATTTTATTTAACCATTGTATCTCTTTGTAATAATTAGTTAAATTTTATAATACCTCCTATTTCTTTTCACGTAATATAGAGGCTGAACTCGATCGTCTTAAATAATTTTAAAATTTTACTTTCAATGAAAAGTTAATATGTTTGAAAATTAAATAAATTTGATCTTCAGGGACATATTGTGTAATGTACGTACCTTTTTTATAGGTGTTTAGTTCGGATTGTCTAATAATTTATAAAAATATTGTACTTTGAGTAAAAATATACTGATTTTTATCAAATGTCAATTTAATATTTTACTTTTATTAAACAGTATGAAGTGATTTTAATGTTACGCGAAACCAATTTTCAAACTAATTTTCGAGAAACAAAGACAAATATCTCATTATTTATTTATTAGGTTATTAATTAAGTTCATATGTTTTCATTAAAAATTCAACATTCTTTTGAATTGTGATACAAAAGAGTACAGTATTCTATTTAATAAAGTGGATCCTTTATTTAATGTATCACATAATACCATGCACTTTACATGTACACGATATGCTACATAAAGCAAATAATTAAAGCCTGCATTGACATTAAATCCGAAACCATTAAGAGAACATCATATTGAACACTTATTGTAGTAGTAAACCTGCTTATTTGCATAATAATATTAGCTACAATACAAACTAAAAAAAATGTATAAATAATAGATACATTGAGAAATTTGTCATATGACGAATGTTAGATAAGATAATTAAATAAACTACGTACACTCTGTATTAATTTTTTACACGTCGTATTACTACAGAATTATTTAAGATGATTCAATTATGTTCATATCAAAACTATTATGTATTTGCACGCATAGAAAATGTTATATTATCTATGATTTTGAACTTTGAAATTATTACTTAAATGATATTACCGAAATTATGCGTTGTACTTGATGAACCCTATAACCGCGAGCGAATTTTTGATTTTTTGGTGTGAAATCGCGCGCCAGTTTTATTTGTTATACAGATGCGTCCTAAGAATTAGATAAAATAAAAAGTTATTTCTTGATTTCTTTTATGTTTTACTATTCAAAGAAATTTTAACAAAGTAACTACTAGAGAATGGAAAAATATGAACTAAATCATTATTTTATACATTACCATTACTAATTTTGGCAATTAAATCTAAATTTACATTGTTATTTTGGGCAAACTTAAATATTCGTACGCAATTTTTACAATAAAAAACGAGTAAAAGACTACATATTCTTGAGCATTAATATACTTAAGTGCACATGTTTTCTTTACATAAAATTTGTTTCAGCTAAAAACATAGAGATCTGTCTGTCTTTTTCTGATGAAAAATCATTATATTAATTTCGTTAAATAGTTATATTCCATCAAATGACGATATATTGACCAAACAAAATCACGTGAAATAATTTGTTACATGAATTTAATTCGTAACAAATAATACTATTGAAAAGGTACTTACAGAATTTTCTTGTATGTGGACGAAATGAGCTGCAAACATTTTTAGATTACTATCACTTATCTTATAAGGACGAAAGTTATTATGTTCCTTCTATTATGCACAATGTGAGTCTTACTATGTTTTATAAATAATTACGATAAACTAATTGAGTTTTTAAAAAATATACATATTCAGTTATGTTTTATTATCTAATTATAGTTTACTCAACATTGTGTATTACCACATACAACATCGTATCTGTGCTCTAACGGTCTTTATCGTGAATAAATGTTTGAATAAAATATAAATAATTAACTATTTTCTTTAAATTGTGTGTGTGTGTGTGTGTGTGTGTGTGTGTGTGTTTGTGTGGTATAACTGAAATACATAATGCTTAGATAGTATAACAGATTAGAAGAGGTTTTAATCAATCTTTTGCATTTTCTCTGATCCCAAACAAATAGAATTAAACATAATCTAATAGCTGACCAAAGTATGGTCTGAACAGTAATATTAGCTATAAAACAAAAATTCTAAAATTCAAAGCTAATTAAGATTTTTTCTTACAGGTAAAATAGGACTGTTCTATTTGGTATTCTACGGGGTGTTGGCTGGGCTGGTTGCAATTTGCTTCTGGGGCTTCTTCCAAACGTTAGATCCAAGGATACCGAGGTGGCAGTTGGAGCGTTCAATAATTGGAACAAATCCTGGTAAAGATTTATTAATTAAATTATAAGTAATAAATAAGACACTTGGTAGCTAAACTGATCAACTTTATATGCTCAATAATTATGATAGTTCTGTTAATTTATTTGACATATGAAAGTAATAAGATATTTAAAACATCTGATTAATTATTTACTAATTATTGGCATACTATATGTAATAAAAGAAATACAATGTTTAGTATTCGTATTTTCAGACTGATTATCTGAATCAATTAAAATATTACAACGAACGAAAATATTATAACAAATAGAAATGTTAAAGAGAAACATTCAAATCATAAATGGAAACAAGAAGATAAGAAATTATGATGGCATTTTTAATAATTCAGAATTTAAAATTAAAAGTGAATCGAAATACACTTTTCTGTGAGAGCACAATAAAATTTACTGCAGCAGAAAGGCACCATTCACAATCAGTAACAAAAAGTGAAAATATATTTTGCATAATATAGAGAAAATTAATAAATTAATATTTCCATTTGAAAACAATAAATAGTCCTAACAAACTTTCTAATAAACCTTAGAAAAGTTTTCCGTAACTCTTAAATGTTTAATTCTCATGATTGTCTTTCTGAATTCCTATTCTATTCTGTAGTACATTTTAATTAATTTTATATATTCTTCAATATAAAAATTACATGTGTATGTATGTGATAATATATTTCACAACATTTTTTGATTGTCGAAGTTTGACTTCTAAGCTGCTTAAACATACAGTAGGTACAATGTGATTATGCAATATTATTGTTTGCAGGTTTAGGATTCAGGCCCAATCCTCCAATGGAGAACGTGGAGAGCACATTAATATGGTACAGAGGAACAGATAGTGAAAATTATAAGTATTGGGTTGATTCGCTGCAACAATTTCTTAAAGGTAATAATTAAATATTTTTATAAAAGAAATTATTACTTACCCTAACACAGTCAAAGTTTATTAAACATACCAATTGAATATTCGTTTTGAGTGATTTTGCAAGAAATACAGAAAATCTAATACATTTACAGTAACAATAATTATGTAAATGATGATAATAGCTAAGAATGTAAAGAATAGGTAATAAATATTATACTTGTATATATGTATGTATATAAAAAGTTATATAAGGGGTCTAATACAGACATTCATACAACTCTATGCGAGACGTATGACTAAATAAAGTATTTAAGAAACTATAAAAACTATGTATTAAAATATTTTAGAAACTGTAGAAAGTATTCAATGAAAGAGATCATAAACACAAAGAATGCGATCAATACAGGGAAATAATGGAACATGTAACTAAAAGGCACAAGAATGAAACAGACAATCAAGAGTAGGCAGTACAATACAACAAATACAAAACATATTGAGGCAGGCGAAATAGTTATAAATAATAGACAGAACAGCACAATTATGAGCTATAACTTTAATATGAAGTAACATATAGGCATCACAGAAAAAGAACAAGATAAAATTATAAAATATGAGTACACATTTCTTGTAATCAGATTAAGTGTGCTCTGAAACAAAATACAAAGATAATAGTATCAATCATATTATTAGTTACAGGCATTATACTACACACATTTATAAGAAAAACCTACTAACACCCATTCATGCAAAAACTCACTGGTTTAAATCTAGCATATCTTATATTCGTTCAAATTAGAATGAAATTCTCTATAAAATAAAAAAAGGTAATAGTAATAAGGAAGATAATAATCGTACTATTTAAAAATAATACATTATTATATAAATATAGGTGCTTGTTTATCACTATTTTAACACATAAGAAAGAATGAACATGTAATAGAAAATACAGTTTCTAAAAAGATCTTTCAAACCTCTGAGTTTTTCTATTACAGATAAGATATGTTATAATATGTTACAATCGATAATAAATTTTTAGATTACATAACACCAGGCTCGGTTCCTGGTCTTGGTGCAAACATTAATAAATGCGATTATAATCAACCTCCACCACCTGGTAAGGTTTGCGATGTCGATGTTAAAAACTGGAATCCCTGTACTAAAGAAAACAATTATAACTATCACAAATCTGCTCCATGTATTTTCCTCAAGCTTAACAAGGTATGTTTTATTTTTTATTTTATTAATATCATGAAAAGTGAAAAGCCAATATAGGGCACTCTGTTTTAATGATTAACACTGTAGAATCTTCACATTTACTACAGTACTATTACTATTAGCATTATTTTGGAAAGCAATTTTTTAGGGTGAGGAAGAATAACGAATATTTTAATTTTCTTAGATATATGGTTGGAGACCAGAATTTTATAACGATACAGAGTCGTTGCCAAAGAAAATGCCTCACGATCTCCAGGATCATATTCGTTCCATAAAAGCAAATAATCCTTTACACCTTAATACTGTCTGGGTATCCTGCGAAGGTGAGAATCCTGCAGATCAAGAAAATATAGGACCAATTAGTTACATACCTCGAAGAGGTTTCCCTGGTTATTTCTACCCATTTGAGAATTCTGAGGGATACCTTAGCCCCTTGGTGGCTGTCCATTTTGTTCGTCCGCGCAGTAAGTACCAAAAAATATGGCATAATATACATAAAATAAATTGAAATAATCTTACACTGCATGCAATTTCACAAAAATGACTTAATTAAATAAAGTAAATATAAAAGGTACACATACATTTATTTATGAACGCATAAAATAATAAACAATAAGAATGTCACATAATGACAATATCAATAAATTTAACAACATTATTATAAAATAGACTCTATTTTAGTACATCTCTTTTATTTGTGTAATATATTAATTATTCAGAAAATGTTTTGAAGTATATTTATTTTTATAAAAATATTGAATATAAGTTATGCATTTTTTCTTGAATTTGTGGTTATTATTTTTCTAAAGAAACTGAAACGTTTGTTAATTTATAA